GAGATAGAGTCTTGTTCTGTCACCCAGGCTGGAGTGCAGTGGCATGATCTTGGCTCACTGCAGCCTCCGCCTCCCCGTTCAAGGGATCTCGTGCCTCAGCCTCCTGAGTAGCTGGGATTACAGGCGTGCACCACCGCACCCAGTTAATTTTTGTATTTTAGTAGAGATAGGATTTTGCCATGTTGGCCAGGCTGGTCTCAAACTCCTGGCCTCAAGTGATCTGCCCGCCTTGGCCTCCCAAAGTGCTGGGGTTACAGGTGTGAGCCACCGTGCCTGGTTGTTCATAGCATTTTGACATGACGCAGCATTCAAATATATTGATGCAAACATATCAGTCCATGGCCGCCTGGAAAAAATAAAATTGGTCCTTCATTGTGGAGTTTGTAAAGCCCTGTATTAAAGTACCCAGCACATGCCTGGAACGCAGTAGGCAGTCAACATATTAATTCCCTTCGTTTCCCTACCATTCGAGTGAACCCTACATTACAAAAACAAGCTGCCCACCACCCCCACCATCAAACATAGCTTCTGTGGGGGAAAAGCTAATTTGACTGTTTTATATTCTAACTTCATGAACCAGGAATTCATTTCCTAATTAAAAGCTTCTGGGTTTCTATAGACTGATCAAAGGGGCATACAGTAAACTGGAAAACACAGAGGAAAACAAGAGTGTTGCCTGGGCCCACATTATAATAACTTGGTTAGGAAAACTGTCCATGTGTTTGAAGGCCCTGGTCTCCGTCCAACTCTTTTTAAGCTGATAGGGTTTAAATGTCCGTTCTCAGGGTCTCTGGCTTCCTGCTCATCTCCACAGTGAGCACGTACCACTAACAGTGTGCTGGATGCTGTGCTAGGCCTTTCACACGCACGACTGGTCCCACTGAATCCTCATACAACCAAACAGAACACTACTATTACCCCCATTTCACTGGGAAGTTGAAGTGGAAAATAATTTGTTGAGTCATACAACTAGCAGCAGTAGAATGGGGACTAAACCCACTCTGGCTCCCCAGCCTGGTTTGGGAACTTCGCACTATTTGCATTTAGAGAGAACCCCAGCAAGCTGACACTGTTTGCTTCCTTATACATCAACTTGGTCATCAGTCCCTTTTGCTCCCTCCAACTCCCAAACTTTCTCTATTTAAAATGAGGGGAAAAAGCGAAAGTCCTTAAGTCTCAGGTTGTTGTTTCATTTTGTTCTCCTCATTATAAAACAAAACCACCGGTCTTAGTGTGTGTCTGACTTACCACCCAATTTATAAATACTCCTTGCTGTGGTCAAGGTGATCATTAAACTAATTAGTAGGCGAGGAGTTTAATTTTTTGTTCCCTGCAGCCATACATCAAGAAAGAAGAGAATGGTGCCTTCTGCTTAGGCAGTAGGGATGCTGTGCGGTACGTTTCCTTCCTGCCAGTTAAGGGACAAGTCAAGTGGACCAGGTCACACTCCCCCACAGGACCACTGCCCTGGACGCTGGCTGGCTCCTGGCCTTACCTCAAGCAGGAAGGCGGCACTGGGAAGGGTTGAGCCGTTGCTTCCTGCTTCAGAACACTTTGGAACCCTGCTTCAGATTTTAGGAACGATTTATACACATTTTGGAAAGCAAATAATGATGTAATTTAAATGATACACTTTTCCCTTGAAAATGTATACATTTTTTGAAAAGATTTTAGGAATGAGAGTTTCCCCAAACAACTCCCTTCAAAGGAGTTCCTGAGGCACTGAACCATTTTATCAGCAGGCCCTGCCCTCTGTATACCTAAACCGGCCACAGTTTTTTGAGCTTCAGTTCCCCAACCAGCCAGAAATGGAAGCGTTTTTGATCTGTGGCTGCGTGGTCTTACATCAAAAGAAGAAAACAGTCAAATTCTCCCCACTTCCCCTTATCTTTTTTGTAATTTATATCCAACCAAGGTTCCCCCTCCCCACCCAAATGCAACCGCTGACAATTTATTAAGCCCAGGAAATCCTGGGTTTCATTTTGGTCCTCTTGCAGAGAGGAAAATGGCTGGTTCCCCTCAAAGCTTCCCCAGGATTGTTCCTCCTAGTCGCTATCTCTGGTTCACTACTGGCCCCAAACCCAAGCCACCGAGCCTATCTGTCTTAAGGAAAAGGTGGAGGAGCAGTGATACCACACTGGGGTCAGGGGTGGACCCTGTGGAGGTGCTGGTGGAAGACCATGCCTGAGAAGGAGTGGCGAGGGCCCAGAAGGTTTGTGTGGAGCTGCAGGTGCACCTGAGGCAGCATAGTCCTTGCTGGTGGGTCTCCTCTGCTGACAACTCTTTCTGCCCTTTCCCCTCCAGTGTTGGGGCTCTCTCCAGGGTAATGGCCTCCTCTTCTTTCCTTCTCATTCTACATGGTTCACTCAGCCTAGGCAAGCTCAGCCATACACAATTCCCCATAGGGCACTATTTGGGACAGGACAACTCTCTGTTGTCCAGGACAGTGCTATGAACTGAATAAAGTCTGCAGTAGTGCTCCTCAGTCATTGTGACAACCAAACCTCCCTGACACATTTCCAAATGCCCCCTGGGTGGGGGTGGGCGGTGCAGTGCTGCTCAGTAGAGGAGCAAAGGACTCCTGAGTTTACATTTCCACACCAGATAGCATCCCTGCACTCCAGACCCCGCACCCAAGGAAATTTCTCAAAGGCACCTTGTGTCCTGTCCTAGAGACATCTTTATTTTTATTTTTTAATTTTTTTATTTGTTATTTTATTATTATTATTTTTTAGACAGAGTTTTGCTGTCATCCAGGCTGGAGTACAGTGGTGCGATCTCAGTTCATTGCATCTCTGACTCCCAGACTCAAGCAATTCTCAGCTTCGCAAGTAGCTGGGATTACAGGCATGCAGTACCACACCCAGCTAATTTTTGAATTTATAGTAGAGACAGAGTTTCACCAAGTTGGCCAGGTTGGTCTCAAACTCCTGACCTCAAGTGATCTGCCTACATTGGCCTCTCAAAGTGCTGGGATTACAGGCATGAGCCACCACACCTGGCCTCCAGAGACATCTGAAACTCAAATTTTCAAACCTGATCTCATCATTTTAATCTACTCTGACTAGTAAATGACCCTACCACTTCCCATTCTCAAACTGAGCCTACGTGTTTTCCTAAATCCTCCTCTGAACTCTTTTATCCAGTTAGTGTACCAGCACACAACCACTGGTGAAATTCTCTAGCCCATCATATTTTCTAGATCCTTTAGGTTACAGCCACCCCAACCTAGCCCCTAATCCAGTCAGAGAGTGGCTTCTAATGCACAGCTGATGAGATCAAGGTTAGTTCCCTGCTGCTGTAATCTTCAAAGGTTTGTCTATAAAACCATAATAGAGGTAGTCTGCCTGAGCAGTGGGAGACCATGAGTTTGAGTTAAGGTGGAGGAGAACTTAACTGTGGTTCTGCACCTTAGGTGCATGACTTTTAAGCAGGCTCTGAGCAGATAGAGGGCCAAGGGCCCCTCCCTGTGGGGTCTTTTCTCTCTGAGGCCTCCATCCAAGCCCTCAGGCTCTTTCATAATTGTTGACTTTGTCTCTCTGCCTCCCTCAGTAAACTTGGGAGCAGGGGCTGTGTCCTCCTGTCTGGGCCCTGAGCCCAGTGCCTGGCACATGGCAGGCATCCTTTCATGAGTGAATGTTTGTGGAATGAAGTACTGAGTTGGAAATCACTCTGCAAACTGTGTAGAGCTGGACCACTTTCCCTTACTCATACCACCATCTGGCATTTGCAACAATAAACACTAACAGCCTCACTTTAATTCAGGACCTTGGGTGGAGGCTCGAAAGAGTGGAATGAACACTGGACTGGGGAGTCTGAACATCTGAGTCTGTTAACTAACACAACTTATCACCTCGGCTATGGCACTTTCTCCAACTGAGGAGATGGAGTGTCAGCTGGGACAAGGGTTCTACAGAGGGGCTTAGAGCGGCTTAAAGAGAGTCCTTGAACAATCTGAAATTGTTGCCAAACTCAGTCTGTTTGCATTCTGTTGAGGGGACATCACAGATTCTTAAATAGTCAAGAACTGCTAATCTGGATGAGCTTCTGAATTACTGCAGTTTACATACTGACGCATGGACTTTGAGGGAAAGGAGGTACAAGGGAGCAGCAGAGATGGCTGGCACTCGTCCCACACAGCCACTGCCATCACAGGCCCATCTGAGAGGGACTTTGTCAAGGCAGCCTTGGCATGACCAGGGTGCTGACTCAGCCACTCCCTAAACTTTATTTAGTGCCACAAGCCAGGGAGCAAAAGGCAGGGTCTCAGGCAGAGAACACACATACAGAATGCTCCTAAAGGGACAGAGGCACGGGATTAGAAAGGAAAACTGCTGGAAAGTGAACCAGATAGGGACTTAGGGAGAGAAGGAGCCTTACAGACAAGGGGACTATCAAGATCCAGAAGTCTGGCACAGGCAAGGGGAACACCAGGGGTTCTGGAGATGGAGGCCTAGACTGGAAGGAAAGGAGAAGGAGCTGGCACTTCCTGAGCACGTACTAAGTGCTGAGTACTCTTGTGATCATAATAATCCTGCAAGGGAGGTTAATCAGTCCCAAGCAAGGGGAGTTAAATAGAACTTCCGCTGTTTGTAAGTGTCCTCTGACCCCCCTTTCTGCTCTGCACTGTCTGTCCAGATAATTCAGACAGCCTTAGCATTTTCTTTGAAAAGGTCAATGACAAGAGGCTGGACTGTAAATCTGCAGCTGGCAAAGGAGAGAGAAAGATTCATTCAAACAGTTTGCAACCATCCTGGGCACCGGCCACGTGCCAGCCACGGGGCTAGGTTCAGGGAGGCACAGGACTAGATCCCTGCCCTTTGCAACAGCCACTACCCGCCGCCCCCACACCCGGAGGGGAACCAGCTGGGATCTGGGCAGCCAGGGCGCTTAAGGTGCGGGGCCGGCGCAGGGCTGGAAGTGGGAAGCCAGGACTGCGGCTGGGCTCAGAGGAGAGTGAGGTAGGGTCGGTAGGCTTCCCACCCTCCTTCCCGGCTTACCAGGCGCAAGTCCCCCGGTCCGTGCACCACCAGGGAAAGGTTCTTCGGCTTGGCCGCCGCCGCCATGGAACTCTTTTGGCTCTTGGGTGCGGCCTGGAAGGCGCGGGACGTTTGGTCGCTCTGGTGGCGCTGCCCAGCCGAGGGTCCAGGGCACAGGGTGGAAGGCGGGGCCTGGAAGAAGCGGCGCACGCAGGGGCGGGGCTAGGCTTCCTCCTTTGTGACAGCCCGGGCGGTGCTAGCGTGGAGGGGCGGGGCTTCCTGGCCTTCTCCGGACCGGAGGCGGGGCGGGGCTTCGCGAGGGGGCTGGGGGCGCGAAGCCTGGGCGCTGGCTCCATCTGTAGCACGCTGTTTGTTTGTTTGTTTGTGGCCGAGGCTGGAGTGCAGTGGTGCGATCACTGCAAGCTCCGCCTCCCGAGTTCACGCCATTCTCCTGCCTCAGCCTCCCGAGTAGCTGGGACTACAGGCGCCCACCACCACGTATCTCTGTTTAGTAGAGACGGGATTTCACCGTGTTAGCCAGGATGGTCTCGATTTCCTGACCTCATGATCCGCCCGCCTCGGCCTCCCAGAGTGCTGGGATTACAGGCGTGAGCCACCGCGCCAGCCCTGAAGCGCGCTGTTTTTGCCGCCTCACATCCAAGCGCGCACAGCTGCCCTGAAAACCGCCTGCGGAGGCAGTAGGCACAAGACCAGGGCTCTCAAATGTTATCTGCAGAAGAATGGGGGTGGGAAATGTGAGGAGCTGTTGATAATGCAGATTCTCAAGACCAGCACCGAGATTCTGATCCGGTAGGTCTAGGTCTGAGGTGCAGCCCGAGGGTCCATATTCCTAGCAACAAGAACGCTGAGGCTGTGGGTGGAGCTCAGTGTGCACTCTGGGAGACAGGCGCTACCATGACGCAGCATCCGTTTCGGCCCTGTTTCTCCGGCCCCCAGCAAAGGGCCTGGCACGACTAGGAGTGAATGAATTCGTGCGTTATTCCATGGGCCTGGTGCATAAGTATAAAAAAGACATGAGGCCAGGCGCACTGGCTCACGCCTGTAATCCCAGCACTTTGGGAGGCTGAGAGGGGTAGATCACCTGAGGTCAGGAGTTCAAGACCAGCCTAATATGATGAAACCCCATCTCTGCTAAAAATACAAAAATTAGCCAGGCGTGGTGGCATGTGCCTTAATCTCAGCTACTTGGGAGGCTGAGACAAGAGAATAGCTTGAATCTGGGAAGCAGAGGTTGCAGTGAGCTGAGATTGCGTCATTGAACACCAGCCTGGGCAACAAGAGTGAAAATCCGTCTTTAAAAAAAAAAAAAAAAGCCATGAAATGGAATATGTGGACCTCTTTCTCTCAACTGGTTCTGCTGCTTCTATTCAAAGCAGAGTTTCTGCCCAAACTCTTCCTTCAAGCCTCTCAGCCCTCTGAGAAACAGTGAGGTTTTACTCTCTGAGGAGAGAGCCGCTTCTAGGGAGGCCTAAGTCTATAAGGCCCCTCCCTCCTTTGAGGACAGTGCTCAGGATTTCATTCCCTTACAGTCCCCCCTCCCCCATATGTAATTGCTGAATTGATTCACCTTGCCTGCTGCCTAGACAAAACTAATTTACCAAGACAGGGGAACTGCAATAGAGGAAGAGTTCATGCAGAACCAGCTATGCAGGAGACTGGAGTTTTATTATTGCTCAAATCAGGCTGCCCAAGCATTCGAACATACGGGGACTCAGAGTGTTTAAGGATAGTTTGATGGGTGGCGAAAGGCCAGTGAGTCAGGAGTGCTGATTGTTTGGGTCACAGATGAAATCACAGGGGATCTAAGCTGTCTTCTTGGACTGAGTCAGTTCCTGGGTGGGGATCACAAGATCAGATGAGCGAGTTTATCAATCTGGTTGGTGCTACTTCTTGAGGGACCAGTGCCAGTATAGGCTGTATTTGTTCCTTGCCGAGGGCCCTGGTTCCTCTGGGATTAGGCCTAGACATTTGACTTGTTGTAAGCAGAGCTGGGCTTCTGGTTTAGACGCCTTGCATGCTTGATTAGCTAGAAAGTTCAAGAGATCTAGAGTAGCCTGCTGGCATGAGGCTTCCAAACTGGGAGACAAAAGTAAATCATCCAGATTCTGTTCCAAGATGGCCAAATAGGAACAGCTCTGGTCTGCAGCTCCCAGTGTGATTGATGCAGAAGAGGGTGATTTCTGCATTTCCAACTGAGGTGCCTGGTTCATCTCATTGGGACTGGTTGGAGAGTGGCTGGCTGCAGCCCATAGAGGGTGAGCCGAAGCAGGGCAGGGCATTGTCTCACCTGGGAAGTGCAAGCAGTCGGGGAATTTCCCTTTCCTAGCCAAGGAAAGCCATGACAGAACGTACCTGGAAAATCGGGACACTCTCACCCAAATACTGCACTTTTCCAATGGTCTTGGCAAATGACACACCAGGAGATTATATCCTGTGCCTGGCTCAGTGGGTCCCACGCCCACAGAGCCTTGCTCACTGCTAGCACAGCAGTCTGAGGCAGCAGCCTGGCAGATGAGGGGTGTCTGCCATTGCTGAGGCTTGAGTAGGTAAACAAAGTGGTCGGGGAAGCTCAAACTGGGCAGAGCCTACCACAGCTCTGCAAGGTCTGCTGCCTTTGGTAGACCCCACCTCTGGGGGCAGGGCATAGCTGAACAAAAGACAGCAGAAACTTCTGCAGACTTAAACATCCCTGTCTGACAGCTGCAATATTTGCTCTTCTGCAATATTTGCTGTTCTGCAGACTCCACTGGTAGTACCCAGGGAAACAGGGTCTGGAGTTGACCTCCAGCAAACTCCAACAGACCTGCAGCTGAGTGACCTGACTCTTAGAAGGAAAACTAACAGATAGAAAGGAATAGCATCAACATCAACAAAAAGGACATCCACACCAAAACCCCATCTGTAGGTCACCAGCATCAAAGACCAAAGGTAGATAAAACCACAAAGATGGGGAGAAACCAGAGCAGAAAAGTGGAAAATTCTAAAATCCAGAGTGCCTCTTCTCCTCCAAAGGATCAGAGCTCCTCATCAGCAATGGAACAAAGCAGGGCAGAGAATGACTTTGACGAGCTGACAGAAGTAGGCTTCCAAAGGTTGGTAATAACATACTTCTCTGAGCTAAAGGAGGATGTTCGAACCCATTGCAAAGAAGCTAAAAACCTTGAGAAAAGATTAGACGAATGGCTAACTAGAATAAATAGTGTAGAGAAGACCTTAAATGACCTGATGGAACTGAAGACCATGGCACAAGAACTAAGTGATGCATGCACAAACTTCAATAGCCGATTCAATCAAATGGAAGAAAGGATATCAGTGACTGAAGATCAAATTAATGAAATAGAGCAAGAGGAGAAGTTTAGAGAAAAAAGAATAAAAAGAAATGAACAAAGCCTCCAAGAAATATGGGACTATGTGAAAAGACCAAATCTACATTTGATTGGTGTACCTGAAAGTGACAGGGAGAATGGAAACAAGTTGGAAAACACTCTTAAGGATATTATCCAGGAGAGCTTCCACAACCTAGCAAGGCAGGCCAACATTCAAATTCAGGAAATACAGAGAACACCACAACGATACTCCTCGAGAAGAGCAACCCAAAGACACACAATTGTCAGATTCACCAAGGTTGAAATGAAGGAAAAAGTGTTAAGGGCAGCCAGAGAGAAAAGTTGGGTTACCCACAAAGTGAAGCCCATCAGACTAACACCGGATATCTTGGCAGAAACTCTACAAGCCAGAAGAGAGTGGGGGCCAATATTCAACATTCTTCAAGAAAAGAATTTTCAACCCAGAATTTCATATGCAGCCAAACTAAGCTTCATAAGTGAAGGAGAAATAAAATCTTTTACAGACAAGCAAATGCTGAGAGGTTTTGTCACCACCAGGCCTGCCTTACAAGAGCTCCTGAAGGATACACTAAACATGGAAAGCAACAACTAGTACCAGCACTGCAAAAACATGCCAAATTTTAAAGACCATCGATGCTAAGAAGAAACTGCATCAAATAATGGGCAAAATAACCAGCTAACATCATAATGACAGGATCAAATTCACACATAACAATATTAACCATAAAAGTAAATGGGCTAAATGCCCCAATTAAAGGACACAGATTGGCAAATTGGATAGAGTCAAGACTAATTGGTGTGCTGTATTCAGGAGACCCATCTCATGTGCAGAGACGGATATTGGCTAAAAGTAAAGGGATGGAGGAAGATCTACCAAACAAATGGAAAGCAAAAAAAAGCAGGGCTTGCAATCCTAGTCTCTGATAAAACAGACTTTAAACCAACAAAGATCAAAAGAGACAAAGAAGGCCATTACATATGGTAAAGGGATCAATTCAACAAGAAGAGCTAACTATCCTAAATATATATGCACCCAATATAGGAGCGCCCAGATTCATAAAGCGAGTCCTTAGAGACTTACAAAGAGACTTAGACTCCCACACCATGATAATGAGAGACTTTAACAGTCAACTGTCAATATAAGACAGATCAACAAGACAGAAAGTTAACAATGATATCCAGGACTTGAACTCAGTTCTGCGCCAAGCGGACCTAAGAGACATCTACAGAACTCTCCACCCAAAATCAACAGAATATACATTCTTCTCAGCACCACATCACACTTAGTCCAAAATTGACCACATAGTTGGAAGTAAAGCACTCCTCAGCAAATGTAAAAGAAAAGAAATCATAACACACTGTCTCTCAGATCACAGTGCAATCAAATTAGAACTCAGGATTAAGAAACTCACTCAAATCCGCAAAGTTACATGAAAACTGAACAATCTGTTCCTGAATGACTACTGGGTAAATAATGAAATGACAGTAGAAATAAAGATGTTCCTTGAAACCAGTGAGAACAAAGACACAATGTACCAGAATCTCTGGGACACATTTAAAGCAGTGTGTAGAGGGAAATTTATAGTACTAAATGTCCACAAGACAAAGCAGGAAAGATCTAAAATCAACACCCTAACATCACAATGGAAAGAACTAGAGAAGCAAGAGTGAACAAATTCAAAAGCTAGCAGAAGGCAAGAAATAACTAAAATCAGAGTAGAACTGAAGGAGATAGAGACACAAAAAACCCTCCAAAACATCAACGAATCCAGGAGCTGGTTTTTTGATAAGATCAAC